GGTGTGATGTCATGTAGCTTAATGTTAATTTTCTCACCTTTTCCTCTAATTCCTCCTATAGATAGAAATAGAGGAGATGGGAAAAAGGTGGAGGTGGAGGAAGAATCTATTTAAAGTTAAATATAATTGCTCATGGACCAGTAACATCATTTTCTCTCCCATCGTTTGTTGGATGGTACTATGTGTCAAGCTTACCAGTCCTCTCTTCATTGTAAAAAGTATTATGGGGGCAGACCACTGTGAGGATGTAGTTGAATTGTGGAATTTCTAATAATTAATACTTTTATCTTTTCTAATTGATGAGAAAATATAGGTATTGTATCAAATCAGTTTTTTGAACCTTGTTTTAATGTTATTTACTAACATGCTAACAATTTGTTAAATTTAAACATTAAATACAAACTTTAAAAAATTCTAATAATTCAGTTTAGTACTAACCAAGAAGGATGGCAGTGGGGGCATGTTCTAACAATTTGTTAACTTTAAATGTTAAATACAAACTTTAAAAATTCTTTTTTTTATTAATGTTTTTTAAATGTTTATTTACTTTTGAGAGAGAGACAGAGCGTGAGCGGGGAAGGACAGAGAGAGAGGGAGACACAGAATCTGAAGCAGTCTCCAGGCCCTGAACTGTCAGCACAGAGCCTGCTGCAGGGCTTGAACTCACCAGCCATGAGATCATAACCTGAGCTGAAGTCGGATGCTTAACTGACTGAGCCACCCAGGCACCCCCCCCAAACTTTAAACATTCTAATAATTTAGCTTAGTACTAATGAAGAAGGATGGTGGTGGGACCATTGTGGAGTTTTCTTTTTCTTTGGTTCTTTCACTCATTCAGCAAATATTTGAGCACTTATTATGGACCAGGAACCATGCTAGCACTATGCTGTAAACACCATGATATCCTGCCCCAGGAAGCTTCTTATATTGAAGGCACCTGTATGAATTCTAGAGTTCAAAGTTTACTTCTTCCAAACCACTTTTCTCACCACATTGAAAAATAAGCTTGCTCCAATCAGTTCAACTCCTACAGAAACTTCTTAAAATGTCTTAGGCAGTGGTTCATAACACCATGTCGACAACAATCATTATTCAATTATACTTCAATAAATAAACACGATTGAGAAAAGGAATGTATTCACCAATCATAGATTGGGGAGAGGGGTTTGGGGAGGGGTTCTGGAGAGGATGGAAGGAAAGGCAGGCATGCCTAGATTTGAGGGAGTTCAAATTTGGTCAACACACATATTTGCCATTGAAATGATTGTAATCACGTCACCAAGAAATTGCTCTCAGAGTTTGAGGAAAGTTAAAGGGGAGCAAGGAACGGGCTTGAATGTGAAGAATGCCTTTTAGCACTGTGGCCCACTCCCAGTGAGACAGAACCTCCCTTCCCAGGAGCAGGAGCTGGAGCAGGCGGGCGCTCGCGTTCCGGCTAATTTTGAGCCGCGCCTCCCGCCGTCCGCCGTCACGTGCCGGCCCGCCCCGGCCGCGTTGATGGGTGGGGGAGACTCTCCCAGGCGCCGGGGCAGGAAGGGAGGAGGTCGTCGTGCCATTCTTAAAGGGGCCCCAGGGAAGGCGAGAGGCTGCTGACGGCCGGAAGGAAAATGGTGAGTTGCCGCCGGGGAGGGCGGGGGCCGGAGGGCCGGGCCAGCCAGCCTGGCTCTCCTGTTTGCCGGAGCCAGGCTCTGCGGGCAGCGCCTGGGGTGGGTCGGCCGCCGCTTCCGCCCCGGCTGCTGGCGCGTGCCCACAGCCAGAGACTTGGCCTCTGCCCGCAGCCGCTTCCACCCGGCCTGAAGGCAGCATCCTCCGGCCGGGCCTGGGGTCGACCCGCCCAGCGGATCCTGGGACTGGGGTGCGGCCAGTAGTAGGGTTGGGTCACCCTCGCCTGGGTCCTTCTGGATGGAGAGTGCCAGCTCCTGAACTGCAGGGTCGGAGGGGGCTGGAGGTCTGGCTCAGCGAAGGGCTCCCCTAAACGCCGATTTCTTGCCAGGGCCCGGGCCAGGCCTGAGGGGCAGACCGGCGCTGAGCACCTTCCGCCTGGCGGCCTTTTCAGGGAGGATTCGGAAATTCAGATTCCATTCTCTCGGCCTCGCCTTAGTTTCTGTCTCCTTCTTCCTTGGCCTGCCGCTCGGGATTTCTCCGTATCCTTGCTTTCCTTGAGTCAGGGCAGCTGGAAACCTTTGACCCAAGGCTTTGATGCTTTAGCCTTAAAGTGCCTGTCAGATGCTTTAGTTTTGTTTGTTCTGGGGGCTTTAGCTTCCGTCCTCGAATGGGTTGAACCCCATGCTTGAAAATAAAGTGGAGAATTAAATCAATTGCCTAACAAGGATTTTTCTGGATCTTTCCTATTGGGTGTTTAAATATGCTCAAATATGCTCGTTTCTTTAATTAGAAACAAAACACAGCTCCCCACTGCCCTGTGTCTGACCTGTCACTCATTTCTCAACCCATCTCCTTCGAATAGATCTTGTCATGGTCACCAAATACAAGGGACTCTTGAATTCTCATCTTAACTGACCTTTCATCTGCATTCTGGACAGTTTACTCTCCCCTTTTTGGAGCTTTCGCTTTCCCCAGACTTTCCCCTTGACTTCTTGTTTTTCTCTTTTACTGTTGGTCCATATGTGTCCCATGCAGACTGTTCTTCCCTGGACATCACATGGAGGTGTTCTAGGCTCCAGTCTAATGCTTGGTTTCCATTCTGTTTTTGTTTTTGTTTTTTCTTTATCCATCTTTTCTTACATTCATAGTTTCAATTACCTCCTACCTATAAGCAGATGACTTGTGAATTTGTATCACATTTGCTTCTGAGATCCAGTCCAGATCTATATTTCCCACTATTTAGTTACCTTCTAGGAAGCTTTTCCCCACTTGGGTGCTTCAAAGCCACCTCAGTTTGTCCAGAGTAGAACTCATTCTCTTTTGTTGCAAACCTGGTTTTTCCTCAGTGTTCCTCAACTCAGTGAAAGGTATAATTTAGTCTGTTACACAAGTGAGAAGTTTGGAGTTATCTCGGTAACTCTTTTTCCTAAGTCACCCCTCCAATATCCAGTCTGGCATTAGCTCCTTTGTAGTGGTTAAGAGAGTGTCTAGAGATCAGGCTTCACTAGTTGTGTTAACTTTGGGGAAGGAACTTAACCTCTCCAAACCTTAGTTTTGTGCAAAATGAGAATAATAAAACAAACTCATCCTAAGGGATTATTTTGAGCATGAGGGGAAGTGCATGTAAAGGGCATAGCACCATGTTTCTCTCACAGTGTTTAATAATGTGTTAACTGTTCTTAGCAGTATTTCCCTACTTCTCGTTCCTCATCAATCTAAGCTACTTTTCATCTCTCACTTGGACTAGTCTTGCCAAGTAACTAGTCTTGCTCTATTCATCTTGGCACTCTGTTTCCTGCATGCAAATCTGATCATGTTTCCCATTACCTCTCTGCTTAAAACTCCTTAGTGACTTCCCTTTGCTCATAGGATAAAGACCAAAATATGACCCACGAGGCCCTATGTGGTCCAGTCCCTACCAACCTCTTCTTATACCATGTTCCTGCTCATTCTCTGTCCTAGAGTCATACTGGCCTTTCATTATCTTACATGTACCATGATCACTTTAATCAAAGGGTTTCTGCATAGGCAGTTTTGGTCCTTCAGATACCTTTTTCAGGCAAATCTTTTGTGACCATAGTGTTCTTCCCTGGTCCTAAGTTCTCATAGCAGCTTGTGTCTCTCTTGTCTAGTTCTTACTACAGGTACAAACAAATACACATTTTCTTACCTGATCCTTTTTCTTTTTCTTTTTTTTTTTAAATTTTTTTTAACGTTTATTTATTTTTGAGACAGAGAGAGACAGAGCATGAACGGGGGAGGGTCAGAGAGAGAGGGAGACACAGAATTGGAAACAAGCTCCAGGCTCTGAGCTGTCAGCACAGAGCCTGACGCGGGGCTTGAACTCACGGACCGCGAGATCATGACCTGAGCTGAAGTCGGACCCTTAACCGACTGAGCCACCCAGGCGCCCCCTTACCTGATCCTTTTGATGTAGGTCTGTCTTCTACTAGACTGTAATAGAAGCTCCCTGAGGGCAAGCCCATATTATTTATTTATTTATTTTATATGATTGTATTCCTAGCACTTACCGTGGTGCTTACACTCACTAAATGTTTCTTACATGGAGAAACCAATAAGTGAACAATCAAGCTCAACACTCCACTTAATTGTATATTGATATTTACCCACATAGAGTTGTTTGCAGGGTGTTATACTTACTCTTAAATGCTTCTGCTAACTGTAAGCCATTAGAATTGACTGAGCCTGCATCCCTTTTCTTGTAGGAAGGAATTTTTGGCCTTATTATGGTATTGGGAGGGGTGAAAATGCCAAAACAAGCTCTGTAAATCAAACCACAGCATGATTTTCATTTGGTTTCTGATCCTCAGAATGTCAGGATTGCACAAGCAGCTCTGAGTGTCAGAGCTGGAAGGTAAGACTTTTGTGATAAGTTGTGGTCTTTGCCTAAACAAGAATCTAAAATATTTATTAGTTTCGCTAATGGGTTCTACCCTTGGTTGAAGAGAGAATGGAAATTCTAACTTTTTGACTTCTGTATTTTTCTTGAAAATAGACTATGGTTGAATACTACCTTCAGGAAGCTCCTTATGACTTAACATCTCTTTTTCTAAGGAGAACTAATAGGCTGCATGCACTTGACTCCTTATTTATTGGCTAGGACCTTATTTATTGGACAATACCTATTGACGGGATATCTTTTCTAATTGTAAATAGCATATCCTGTGGTCTGAATTAAAGGACAATTTAAAATAATACCTATTTCTGATTTAACTTATGCCCTCATTTACCCAACCTGGGGTCAAAAAAGTAGGCTTTTATTAAATTTGTATTTTAACTTAAAATTGGAAGCCTTCAACTTTTTGGGTTATAATGAGACATGTATTTAGCATTGGTCTCTGAAATGTTCTAATTTTCTTGAAGGAGAGGGAAACATGTTTGAAAAGATCAAAGAATGTGGACCTTCTTTTGGTACCTGACTCAATCAGACCTGTTGCGGGGGGGAAAAACAATGTGGGGAATTCGAATTCTATTTGATTATTTGAGACTGGAATTATGGTTAGGTTTTTTAAGGTGAGATATTGTTATTATCCTTGTATTCTTAATGGCACATACTGTCATTTTAATGATACGTACTAAAATATATACAGTTGAAATGACTTTGGGCCTTTGCTATGTGACTTCCATGGGGGGCAGTATGGAGGGTTTTGATGCAATAAGATCGACTATGTGTTGATAATGTTTGAAACTGATACAGGTGCATAGGGTTCCACTATACTATTCTCTCTCCTTTTCTATGTGTTCAAAGTTTTACACATTAAGAAAGGGGAAAAAAAAGATTTCTGTCCTTGTGCTTTCAATCAGCAATACATTTGCATTACTAAAAGAAGAGTGCTTTAGGTCATTTCCTTGCCAGATTTCTGGAGAAGAATCTCTAACATTTTTTCATAATTGTAAAAGGTTCTTTTAGTATAGTTTATATTGGTTTCATCTAGTTTTGCTTTCATAATTCTTTTTTTTTTAAGAATTCATAATTCTCTACACCCAATGTGAGGTTCAGACTCAAGACCCTGAGACGAGCTGCATGCTCTGCAGACTGAGCCAGTCAGGTGCCCCGCTTTCATAATTCTTAATAACTTCTTTTTTTAATCCCCACAGTAATTTAGTTAAGATATAAAATGGTATTGGTATTTACTCTTGTGACTTACTTTTGTTTATTTGTATTTTTTCACAGTTGCGAGACACAAAAATGAACCAAGGTCTTATTAATTCTAAGTACAATAAAGATGATTTTTCCTGTTCTTCCTGCATAGTGCAAAAATGTATTTTCTAACAGCAGTGATCCTTGACTTTTCCTGTATTCTTCCCTTCTCTGGTTCTGATGAAATTGCACATTATTATATCTAGTTCTTTGAGACATTTATTAGCCAAAGAGAAAGTTAAGGCATAGCCTACACATTAGATGAGCAAATGTGTATGATTAATGTAGATAAAGGTTGGTAGATTTAAAAGCTCTAAGTGTTCAGGTGTTTCATGTTAGTTCACTTAATTGTGACATGTAGATGTCAGTATGTTTTTAAAGGTATTAAGTTTTATAACTTTCACATGTACATGTATTGAAGTCATGGCATTTTATACATGGTTTTTTTTTTTTTTT